CTTAGAGAGGGCTGAAAGCCCTATGAAGCGGTATATAAGTCTAACTGCTATTGCTAAGTGACCATACTAATTTTTAAACAGCCATAATTCCATTCCGACTAAAAGAATTACATGGATATAAACTTTTTCCTATTAGATACCCTCTCCCAAATAATGTGCTAAGTAGGACAAGAAATACACAGATACAAAGAGATTTATTTTTGTAAATAGAAATTAAAAATCTTGAAATACAAAGGGTACGATCATATCTACAATTGATACACATTTAAGCTTTTGCAAATAATAAATACTCTTTAAGCATAGCAAGGATTCTAATGTTACACACAACAGTAAAAAAAAATACTGAACAAATTTGCATTTATTCAGATTTTAATATAAATTGAAATTTAATTAATAACATTCTGTTTGCATGGAATTTCAAGATACCACACATTTATAAATTAAAGTTGATAATAAGTCCTGTCCCCAAAGCTATAACCATACGGATAGTCCTCAACTTACAATTCTGTTTCATTTAACAGAATGAACAAAATTACAACAGCCTTGGAAAAAGTGTCTTACAACCTGTCTTAAAAGTTAATGGCCCATCACGCTTCCCATTGTTACATGATTGCCTTTACAAAGGTTGCAGCATCTTGTGGTCCTGTGATTTGCAACTTTCTCAGCTGGCTTCCAACAAGCAGAAGTCAATTGGGGAAGTTGGATTCATTTCTTGACTGGGTTTTGCTTAATAATTCTAGTAAAAAAACAACAGTCATAAGATTGGGTCTGGTTATGTAGTGACGTTTAATGACTAGATCAATGTGCAGCCAAAATTCTGGTCCTAATTGTCATAAGTTGACAACTACCTATACTAGGATAAAAATCCTAAATCATCCTATTGGATAACTCATTTTTTGAACACTAAATATATTATCCAGGTGTCTGTAAGAAATAGTTTTGTAAAGTTCTCAAAATTGAAGCATGTACAGGTGGTCCTTGACTCGCAACAGTTCATTTAGTTACCATTCGAAGAGCCATAGTAACAGAATGGAATGCAGTATTGCAGCCTATTGTTGACTGCCAGGGGTTCGATCCTGACCAGCTCAAGGTTGACTTCACCTTCGATCCTTCCGAGGTCAGTAAAATGAGGACCCAAATTGTTGGGGGCAATATGCTGNGTGTGTGTGTGCGTGTGTGTGTATGTGTGTGCGCACGCAGTATGCATTTATGAGTGCATGTAGATACATGAGTGAAATAGAGAATGATTCAGTACTTAATGCCGGCAATCGGAGCTTGAATGTTTAAAGATGCCTTCAATGTGATGCTGGCTTGAATAGGTGTTTGCAATTTTGAATTGTAATTTACTGTGTGAACTTGGATAATTAACATTCCATGATGTAGTTTCTGATGAGATGGTGTAGGTACAGTTCATCTCATTATCCAATCATCTGTAGGATACAGAGGGTTTTTTTTAAATGTGCCATTATCTATTTTAATTCTGAATTTACTTTAAAAACAACAGCAGTATACCATTTTATTAAATTGTTAAATTTCAAAATATAGGTCTGTGCATTCACATCAGTAAAACTTTGTAGAACAATGAAGTAAATTAAACAATGCAATATCTGGCAGTAAAAAAAAAAAACCAGGAGAAACCCATTATGTATATACCAAGCATTTATTGCATTTATTGTGGGTTGTGTGACTTGTTTCACCTATGCTTTGTTTTAACCTGGGGTGCCATCAAGCTGTGAAGTCAAAATTTTAAGTGGTGGCAATGACAGAAAACAACTTTATGGTGTACAACCAAACTTGAACAGAAACTGGATGCAGTCATTAAATTATGTATATATCATTTCAGTACTTTTAAGTCTGCAAATAAGAATTGAAATATTTTGGGTATTAAAACTACAAGGAACAGGTTTTTGCATAGTTTGCAAAGAAGTACTCTTAATTGCCTTTGCTTT